TAGACATAGACGAATACATGCAGCGTATTTGGTGACTCTTACGGCGGCTACTTTGTATGCTAGAGACCACGAGCCTCGTGAGTTCCTGCGAGAGCATCGTGGAAAAACTGTAGAAGTTGGCACGATATGAATCTTAATTAGGAATGCCTCGCTGCCACTTCCTTAGACCTAAGTACGAATTCTGTTATGATTTAATCATTAGCCAGATTTTCCGGAACAGTTGTTTCCTTGTAACTGCTCGTAATCTTGCTTTTTAAATTGCTTTCATAAAAGCGTGAAGTCGGGAAGACGGCGCTCGGGATTCATTAGACCCTGCACACTTAATCAATTGTATAACTCCTTGTTGCCTCATCAAATTGTATATTAACTTATATAATTGTTTTCGTAATTGCTTTTCTAAATTATTGAGATCTCTATGTAACATTTTTTATATATTATATATATATTATATTATATGTATAACCCCTGGCAAAGTAATTCGAACACCTTTTGAAACGCAGTAACTTTCTTAAAACTGGACCCAATGAGCACATCGTCTTAAACTGACGCTTTATTTTAAGTTCACAAAATTAGGAAATTATTAAACTATATATACATATATTAGAATAATATAACTATAACTATATACATATTAGAATATCTCTTTTAATTCCTATTTCAACGGTAAAATACGGATCCTAATGTATCAAAAAAATATATCGTTTTGTAAGGCCGTTAAACAAGCACTCGATTCAATATTTTGCTAAGAAAAAATAGTACTTCTACGAGCATAAGATTTACCAGAAGATTAGGAAACATTAAGAAATCGTTTTTAATTTTCTCGTGAAAGGACGAAATAATTTTACAAACGATCCAATATCTTGTAGCAACCACAACATCTATTCATCCTTATATTGCAAGGCAAACACAAATTTCATTTGCTAATTTATATTATACATATACATACAATATATGTATAGTCAACTGCTGTTGCGAATGTTTCTTTAATTTATTTATTTATTGTATTTCCCAATTCGTTCGAATTACACCGTGTGGAATTACAGAAAACTATCAGCAAAAAAGCTGAAGTTGAAGTGAACGAACGCAGAAGTTGAAAAGAACAGAACAGTTTCCTCCGTATTTTCACGGCTGTAGAACCACGATGTCCAGCTTAAACGGAAGTCTCCGCTAACCAGTCTTACGCGGGCGTGCAGATGCATCTCATGCATTATTTATTCGTCACCATCGATCCTGCCGTGGATGAAGCGGACATCATCAGTCACCTTAAGACCGACGACGAATGTTGTACTTCTAATATACGCGGTTTAATAGTTCTGCGTAAATTGCGTCCGTCCGGTCCAAACCGAAGCAACAAATTCTACATTCTTTTATTATCAAGCCATTACTTGATCTGTTAATTTCTCGCGTTCTCAAATGTACATGGTAAATGTATATCAACAATCTGCATTCGGAAAATATTCTCAGCTCAGCGTCCAACAATTGAAACGTAGTAGTGAAACCCTAGTAAAAACTGAAACCTAGCATTTCAAGTAAAATGTAAAATGATAATGGTAAACATTAGGTTCTGCGAACCCAGTCCCGATGACCTTGATCTTGAAATATGTTGTCAAGGTCATCATACCGAACAACTTTCCCCATAGAAGTTACCGTCGCGCTCGGTCTTGTGTCACAACAAAACAACGAGAAACATACCTGCCACTTGTCACGCAAATTCATCAACAAAATTAGAATTACCAAATTTAACCTATAAACTAAAGCATGCTGGTTATTGTGGGGTGATCTTATTGCTATGCCATTGATTTGTTTTCGGACACAGTTAACTTTATATTTTCGAATAGGAGATATTACATTTTTTATTAAAAAGTAAACGAAATAAAAGAATAAGAGAAAAAATTAATATGTCTTATTCGATAAATTTGTATAAAGTTAATTGTGCCCGAAAACACAGCAATTGGTAACCTCACAGTAACCGGCTCCACTACCCTACTTATAAGTAAGTTATCGATACAATTCTAGCAGCCGCAGATATACAGTTATGCAGAGGACAGTTATGTTCTTTCAGATAGAGAGCTCGACATTTTCTATAGGATAGTATAACTTATTAATTTATTTATGTTGAAAAGAAGAAGATATTTTGATTTCATTAAGTGTAAAATAACAGAGATATTAGGCGCCAGGTGCTAATTATTGCTGGATCGCCCTGTATATGGACGACTCAGAAGCCAATCAGTGTTTGTCCATTTACCTTAAAATTGAGGTATGTGTTCGTAGATAAATATGGAGTGCGAAACCTGTATACGATATATTTTCTTTTTTTAAGCAAAGAAGAAATTTGTTCGCGCTGTAAACAAAAGCTTGATATCTTTCATTTATCAACAGTCATTTACAAATATTTCATCCAATGGATCGAGCAGTATTGTATTTTTTTTTTTAGGGCGTACAAGCTTTACTCGACGTGTTATTTTACTGTAATCAATTGGTATGGAGTTGACACGTTGAGCAATATCGCGACGAAACCCGAGACATCAGCGATATACAAATTTGGGACGTGATAAGTAAACATAACGCTGAGACACGCGAAAGTATTCGAACGTCTTTTAAAACGAAATAACATTTGTATAATTAGGCCAAGCGATCTAATCTTTTTTTTTTTGAGATGTTAGAGAGATTAGTGTACTAGACAACAGTTAAAAGATTGTTTTAAAAACTTGCAATTAGTTGGAATGGCAAAAAAGTAAAACAATAATTCTTGTTTCTTAACTTTATCCAACGAGACTAATTAAAATTTATTTAATTATCAATCAACATGATTTTCTTATATTGTTCTTACAGGAATGGAAAAATAGACATAATGCTACAACAATGTACACAAAATTAATATTTTTCTTCAACGAAATACAATATCGTAAGAAAACTCGCTCGAATGATGGTCAAAAAACCTTGAACGATACGGTACGATATTTTGAATTTTATAGAATTTAAGCAGGCAAAAGTCATTGGGCGGGTATTCAAATAGCATACAAAATATTTTAGAACCCCCACTTTTGTCATAACTTCTCGAGAAAACATTTATGGACTTCCGACGTATCTACGGAAAAGAAATATCGGTCACCCTATATATTCGAAATAGAATTTGTCGACGTATACATCATTTTATGCATTAATTCATATTGTGTATCCACTTATTCGTTAAAAGTGGATACA